AAGATCTTTTTTTTTTTCCTTTCTTTTTTTAATGGAGCTTCTTGTTGCCCAGGCTACAGTGCAATAGAGTGATCTTGGCTCAATATAACCTGTGCCTCCTGGGTTCAAGCAATTCTCCTGCCTCAACCTACCAAGTAGTTGGGATTACAGGTGTGCGCCACCATGTCTGGCTAATGTTTTTTTTTTTTGTTTTTTTTGTTTGTTTGTTTGTTTGTTTTAGTAGAGACAGGGTTTTCCCATGGTGGCCAGGTTGATGTCGAACTACTAACCTCAAGTGATCCACCCGCCTTGGCCTCCCAATGTGCTGAGATTACAGGCATGACCCACTGCTCCTGGCATAAGAAGATCTTAATCAGGCATGACTTAATGGAACAGAAACGCATTACATCTTCTTCAGAAGCTGTTTGCTCCAAACTGTAGTATCTGCCCTTTCAAACAGCCCAGTTTGTCTAGAATGTAAATGTGAGGCTGGGTGCTCAGAACAGGTGTCCCTTTACAATATTTTACAGAAATGGAAGGGGGCTATACACATCCATAATTCTGATTTATGGTAAACATTAGGGCATCAAACACACTTGCCATTTGCAGCAACAGCCCAGACAACAATTTTCAAGTGCAAAACAAATAGGACAGTGATCACTCCTATGATCCTCAAGCCTTGAGGTAAGGTGGCCTCAAAAATAAATGCAGATTCTGAGATTCAGTTTGGAAGAGACTTGCAAACCAACAAAGCAACTAGTGTTACACAAAAAGAGCTTACTAAACTGACTACGATAATGAGATCTTCATAAGGTACCCAAATGAAAGCACTGGCTTTCTGTAAGAATAGATGGATATGATAACTTACTAACAATTTATCTATGGAATACATTTTTCATAGCAGTGATTTGTACCTGCTGAGAAAGCCATTCCCACTGGAACCTGCAGGAACCCATCCCTAATTCAGATATTTTCTGCATCCTACCAAGTAATGTCAACTGCACAGTTTGACAGACCGGTTTTATCTTGAAAAAAAAAATATGCAGATGCAGGCAAGTTCAAAGAATAAACCTGAATAAGTATGTTAACCCTACTAGAAAAACACCCATTACTTCATACATGTTATTGCCCTAAGCATGAACAAAGCAGCTGTGAAAGACACCTGACCCAGTTGTTAAGTGGAAGCACACCATTCTGGCAAGATCAAAGTCGAGGTGTCCTGGTTCTCATTGGGGCCTGGATCTGTAACATCTCAGCACTGGCAGTGACCAGGAAGCCTGGCCAGGTCCCTCTCTGGCTCCTGTGTGGCCCCTTTTCCAAGAAGCAAATTGGTCACATGGTTACCCTGGTCCCTTTTCTTTCCATTGTCAACCTGCCTGTTCACCAAACCACCAATCCAGGCCTCTCCATTTTTCTTAGCTTATTTTATTGCTTTGTAAACAACAAAAACAACAAATTACATAATATTGCAAACATACTTTTTAAATGAAGGTAAGAATAATTCAGTGAATACTCACTTGATCATCCTTGCATCTTTATTTCTTATTGCAAACACTACCAGAACCATCCCAAAATGGTTCAAAAGAAACATGTCACCAGATGAATCATGTTTTTACTATTAGTCTGTAAAATATCTTGTCATAGTCAATGCTTTATTCAATGAATATTTGTAAGTCTCCACTGATGGAAAATGCAACCAGAGAACACAAATTCTGCTTTGATAGACTTTAGAGTCTTGAATGGTAATGGCCAGTGCTGAACTTGTGACAGTCATTATTTAGTACACAGACATGACTCTGATCATGCCTTCCTTTTTATAGCTGAGGATGCTGAAGCTCTCAGAAAGGTTTAAAAGTGAGCCTAAGACATATGGTTTGCCTTTCTTAGTGGTTTTGTGTACTTAGGGGCTTGGATTTGTAGATCAGAAACCACGTTTCCAAATGCACACGGAGCCCAGCAGGGTATTTGGGACAAAGCCTGGAAGTAGCAGTTGCTGGCAGGCTACACCAGTGTTGGACAAGAGGATCTCTTGGCTGGTTCATTTGAGGCAAGAGCCAAGCAACTGCCATGGGGTTATTTGCTTTAGAGATTCCAGGACAGAGGCCCCAATAACACAGCTTCACAAAAAGTTAAAATCACCAACCCTGTTGTCATTTCTGCACTTGAACCACTGCTGCCATATAGATCTGTGATCACTGAGGGCCTACATCTGTCACTGCAATGTTTCACTGTGGCAATGAACAGGTAAAGTAGTCCTACAAACCCAGTCCCAAGCATGTCTGTGTCCAACGGGGTGCCTGCCAGGAAGCTCCTTACTTAGCATCCCTGACAGTTTACCCTGGCTCTGCTGCTGCCTCGAGGACAGCCAGTTTGAAAAAAGACCCTCACTGGATCACCATTTTAGGATCTACCAATTTTAAGGGAATGAGATCAGAATGGAAAGCAACCATATTGCAAATGATGTCTTTATCCCACTGATAGGGTTCGGCTCTGTGTCTCCACCCAAATTTCATCTTGAATTGTAATAATCCCCATGTGTCATGGGAGGAAGCAAGGGGCATGTAACTGAATCACGAGGGCAGGGTTTTCCCATGCTATTCTTGTGACAGTGAATAAGTCTCACGAGATCTGATGGTTTTATAAATGGGAGTTCTTCCCCGGTGCATGTTCTGTCTTGCCTGCTGCCGTGCAAGATGTGACTTTGCTCCTCCTTCACCTTCCTCCTCAGGTGAGGCCTCCCCAGCCATGTGGAACTGTGAGTCCTTTAAACCTCGTTCCGTTATAAATTATCCAGCCTCAGGTATATTAGCAACTTGAGAACAGACTAATACACCCACACAGACCAGTAAACTTAGTCTCATGCTGATATAACTTACAACTTGTTATAGATTTGGAATGGTAACCCCACCACTACCCAGTATCCCACAATCTAAGATTTAGTTACTCTTTGTGCTAAACTCTGCCTCCTCCTTTAAACACATTGCATCTCACTGTTCACAGGCACTGGCCTTTCCCTGACATCAGCTTCAAAGCTACCCGTAAGAGAGGACTTGGCCTCCCCATCTTAGGTAAACAGATAACCTGTGTCCCTGACATCCTAAATGCCATGCATAAGACTCAGTTCTATTCCCCGCTCTCACCATTTGTACAATGTCTGAGGAATATTCCTCCATCTATAAAGAGAGAGAAGCAGTGGATATCCCATGCATCATATATTTATTTAATTAAGCAAGAGCTTACAAATGTTGAGCTCTCATTTCTAGCATTTTGATGAAAAATAGGGAATTTGGTCTCTGTAAGCGAGATCCAAGGAGGAATTCTCCTGGTGTAGCTTGAGTAAGAAATTGTGTTCCCTGGGTTGTTCCACGTGGTGGAGGGGAGGGGATTGTTATGGTCATGGGTAATGATAATATCCTATACAATTACTCAAAATCAACCTCTTCTTGATCACTCTTCTTGATATAGGCTCTTCTTGATCACAATGTTTTCCCTGTGCATCAAGAGACATTCTGGGTTGTCAACACAAGGAAGGCAGGCTAGCTGGGTGCTAAAATCTTTCATGCACGTTATCACAGGAAATCATAAGAATAATCACTTGAGGAAAGGAATATTCTCATTTTTAAAGCTGAAAAGCTAAAGGCCACAGTGGTTAAATAATGGACTCAGCTTCCATAGCCATTGAACAACTGACCTGGTTGTTCTTAGACACATTCTCTGACCCATGCATGGCACGGGAAGAGCTGCCTCTGGGAAAAGCAGAGCCTGCATTCTTTAGTTCCTCTCCTATATAATCTCTGTCTACACCAATAACCAGTCACACGAGGGAAGCTGGCACCAGCTGGATGCTAAGACCGTCTGCATTTATAAGCATGCCAATCCTAACCGATGATGGTGTTCTGCTCTCTCTTGGTTCTCTGCAGAACCAGGAGGAGATGAGTTCAAAGATCTGCCCTTGCTAAGGTGATTTCATGTCTTGGTTTGAACAGCAAAGTCCTGATTTACTCTCATCATGCTTTGAACCACAAATTATATGAACACTCTCTCCAGACCACCCCCCTCCACCGCCCCAGCACAAAACACATGTTCTCTGCAAATGGTAACCCTCTGTGTTGATAATTATTAAGATGAGGATGCATCACCTGAATTTCTGAGAAGGGTGAGGAAGTGGAGCTAAGGGTCATTATCATTTCTACTTGCAGTTAGGAAAAAAAATTGTAATTCACAAGGGATAATGTGGTAGAGAAATATGGTAAACTCTTTCCCACCCTAATTCTCAGCTCCCTGTGCCTGTTCATCATGATCTAACCACTAGCGGTTAGATCTAACCACCATCGTAATCATCTAACCACCATGATACATGGGTGGCAGCCATTCCTAAAGGGAGCACCTGAAAACCACATATCGAAAAGAGGACTGTCCCTGCTTAAAACAAAGGTTTTGTATTAAGACCACTGAAGTGGCACCTAGGCACAGTGGAACATTATAGACATGGTTAAACCTCTTCCTGGGACACAGGGCTGAGGGCACACATGCAGAAGATATAAAAGCCAACTGAAGGGAAAGCTACCTGATCCAGGTGGGGTTCAACACCTGCTGGCCCCCTCACGGGCTGCAAAGTCTGCATTATTTACAAGGCACACACACAGAAAATATGCATGCACACATATCCACACATGTCCAAGTGCACACACACACACACACATACACACACACAGGCACAAACACATCTTTGTTGACAGCTAATAATGCTTGCTCCAGATGTCAATCACGTAAACATGATATCATTATCTTTGCTACAGTGTAAAGATTTGTGCCTCTGAACATCCGTATGTTAAAATCCTAACCCGCAATGTGATAGCGTTAGGAGGCGGGGCCTTTGGGAGGTGATTAGGTCATGAGGATGAGCCCTCATGAGTGAGATTAGTGTCCTCATAAAGGAGACACCAACCAGATCCCTCGCCTGTTCTGCCATGTGAGGACATGGCTAGATGGCACCAACTACAAGGAAGCGGGACCTTGCCAGACACTAAATCTGCCAGTGCCTGGATCTTGAACGTCCCAGCCTCCAGAACTGAAATAAGCCTCCAATGCTTTTAAGCCACCCAGTCTGGTTTTATATATATATATATATATATATATATATATATAGCAGCTCAAACTGATTAAGACAATCTCTTAGCAAAACTGAAGCATTTTTTGCCCCTTACTGGTTCATTTCTCCCAGAAAGGCCTTGCCTGAAAATGGCTGAGCACCGAGTTACTTGCAAATTTTCTGGCCAGACATGTGTTGCTCCACAGCAAACACTGTCTTAAGTTCTGCCCACCTTGGCCGAATTTCCCACCTCCAAGAACACCACACAATAAATAGTGGAATTTAGTCATTTTCAAGCAACTTTTAAATGTGATTTATTTATCCTCAGAGAACACCCAAGTTATTTGTTCTCCACCCTTATCCTCCTCCGCTCTCAGAAGGAGGCTGTGGCCTTAAGAAAGCAGAACTTGCTCATGCTATGCCTACAAGTCATGTTTGCAGAGGATAATTCTCAAATGCCGAGCCTTCAGTACCTTTCCTGTTTATGCTGAAGCACTCAATCAATTGGAAAAAGGGTCAGTTGTAAACAGTTCCATGCTATGGAACCAGTAGAGACTCTAGGTAGGATCTAGTATCAAGAATTTTCAGAAACATTTTGGAAACAGTCCCCATCTAGCGGATTTAATAAAAGAGGAGAATAGAAAAGTCAAAGGCTAATGTGTCATGGTTTACTAGTTCTGTAAAAGAATAAAAAGCACACAATGCGCATCAACATAGAAAACAAAACCATCTGGTACCACAACCGAATAATATGTAATATAATGTCTACCATCACCAGAAAGCAAAAATAGAGAAAATATCATCCACATCAAGTCTCTGCCTTCTTGGCTTGAATCTCAGCCTCTCTCTCATTCAAAGAGTATGGTCTCAGCTGGACGGTATGGATAGCTTGGTGAATAAGACAGTAAGACATCCATTTCCTAATTAATTATCTCTATTAGCTTGATTGAATAATGGATGCATTCCTCAATCTATGAATGTTCACATGACTCTTTATTCTCCTGCCCCTTGAAAGCTGCTGGTCCTTCTGGTCCAACTATAATTGTGTGCTTGACTCCTTGGTCCAGCTGTTTCTGGTGTGACCAGACATAAAAGGCAAGAACGGGCTAGCATCTGGAACCAGAAAGTGGGGAGGTGGGGGCTGACAAGCAGACAAGCTAGAAAGATTAGACCAGAATACTAGGTTCCTACAGATCAAACCTGGACAGAAAGAGTCAAACAGGTAACCCAAATGCAATAAACAAGACCCTGGGCTGAGACCGAGAAGGTTTAGTAAGGCCACACCAGGGCGACATCCTCTGATCTACAATTTATTTTCGTGCAGAGCATTGTTTCACTGGATACTGATGTCTGTTTCTGCTATCACAATGCCTAATTTTAAGATGACAACACTAAGCTCCATGGAAACTGAACAACTTGGCTCAGTCCAGGAAACTGGTAAGTGGGGGCTGGAACTTGAACCCGAGGTCTAACTCAGAGCTGCTTCCTGGAGACACAGTGCTTCTTGAGCCCAGACATACTTAGGACTAGGCTGAAATGTGGGCAAGGGATGTGTGTTTTCTGCTCCCTTAATTCCTAAGGGTGGCTGGGTCATGGCTCAGGGGAAGCACCAGCCCTCGGGGTGGCACTGACTTCTGAAAATAACAAGAGCAGAGGGCTAGGCCTCCTTCTCAGAAGATCCTTCCAATATTTTTCTCAGAAGCGAGCACATCCGTTTCTTAATTAATTATCTTCATTAGCCAAGCTCAATTACTTTGTGTCCACCTCCAAGAATTCAACCTTGCTCCTTGGAGACTTCCTATTTGAATTTCCAAGGGGGCAAATATTGCCAGAAGCATGTTTTATGTAATTACATAGTGTAGATATTTCACTCCCTCTTTACTTAATGATTATTAAATACTGAAATTAACTTTCGTATTTGGATATGGATCCCACCAGTTTAAGAGAAAGTAAATGTATACATGTAATGGAGTATTTCTCCCTGCAGAATTCGAGGGACCACATTTGTTGAAATACTAACCAGATGCTGGTGCGTGCCTGCCTCCAACAGGCGGCCTCTCCTCTATTTCTCATCATGTCAGTGTCCAGTGGTTTTCAATGTAAACTTTCTATTCTACTCTGCATTAGAAAAGCCAGAAGAGCTTGATAAACGCAGATTCCAAGGCCCCACACCTTGACTGACAGAATCAACACATCGGCAGGTGGGGCCTGGGAATCTGCATTTTTAACACATTCCCCCTAGGAGAATCTGTTTGTGCTAACGTCCAGGAACCAATTATAGTTACTTGCCTGATGCATGAAGGCAGTCTTATCGTTGGGAACAAGAGAGACAAAACGAACCCGAGCCAGTCTCTTCTCATGCATATTTAAATAATAAAAATCCAATACATGTTATCTATTATTATTCCACAGTTATTATAAATCCTGAGCCGAGAGCCTGACAGCCCCGCCTGATTTGCAAGGTAAAGGAAAAACCAGGAGCAGGGAGGGGAAATGGGAGGAGAGGTGGGCAGCACAGTCAAACACACTGAGGCTGTTAACTGCTGCAGGCAACAGGAACTCAACCTGGCTGGGGCCTCTGGGAGCTAACAGGGCACAATCAGCTCCAGCCCCACCTGCAGGGCAGGGAAGCTGGTGTTTACACATTGATGCCTGTCAGTCCTCAGCTGAGCATTGCTCCTGGGACCTGATAATTCCCTGGCATTGCTGTGCATGGACATGGGCTTCAGCAGCCGGAGAGAGCCCTCGGGCAGAGAAGCACAGGCAGGCGCTGGCTGCTGGAAGCTGAGCTGGCATAAAGGTGAAGGAGCGCATGCAACTGGGGCACTAGGAGCGTCCGCTGCCGCTCCTGCCAGCTTAAGCAAGAAAGCGTCAGATGCGTTTTGGTGACTAGCTCAGAAAACGAGTAAGAGGCAAACAAACGTCGTGAGAGAAAAATTCTTTCTCATTTATATGTTTGCTGATTTAATTGTCGTAAAACAAACATAACATAAAATTGGCCATTAATGACATTGGGAGCCCTTACAATGTTGCGCAACCATCACCACTATCTAGTCCAGGACATTCCCACCTCCCCACATGGACATCCTACACACAGTAGCAGTCACTTCCCATTCTCTCCTCCCCCATGCCCCTGATAATCACGAATCTACTCTCTGCATCCATGAAAACGCCGATTCTGGACTTTCACCCAAATGGAATCATACGGAAGGGGTCGCTGCCATTGGCTTCTTACCCTCAGCATCATGCTTTCAAGGTTAATGCATGCTGTCGCATGTACAAGTTCTTAATTCCTTGTTCGGGCTGAATGGTATTTCTTCATGTGGATATATTTTCTCTTTAATCTTTTGGATGCCACAGAGTCTTCCCAGGAATATCTCTTTGCAGGCTGGCGATAGCGCTGGGCATTCCCCTTTGCTGTGCCAGAGCAGCCCTGCTGTGCTCTGCATCCTCGTTTGTGCTCTGAGACACTGGCCTCTGTAGGCAGTCCTCTCCTCTTTATGGGCTCCCTTCTCCTCTCACTTTCTTCTCTGGCTTTCCACTAGATTTGGCTCATGGAAGCTACTGAGCAACTGAGTTTAAGTGTATTTTTCTCTCCAGCTCCCTTGCTGCGTGACCACCACCCACGTTAGGCGGTTCTCTCCACCAACCTTCTATCTCCAGGTTCTCTTGGCCCCCTTCTCCCTGCCCTATCAGGCCTAGGGATAGTAATAGCTTCCTGCTATTGACAGGCCTCAAGAATGGAACAGTCCTTCTTTAGTTTTCCCCAAATCTTCCAACATTTTTGTAAATAGTCTATTAAACATCAATCAATTATTCCAGTTTGTGTGTGCCTTTCTATCATGCTGGGACTGGGACTGATACAATGATCAGTGATAGAGTAACCAATCTATATCTCACTTAGTCACTGAAGCGTATTTCGTAGTATATATATTCATAACTTTGGTGCTCAGAAATGACCTGTGTTAACCCCACTTCCATGTTATCTCCACTTCCCTGACCAGATCTTGACTAGAGAGCAATTGCTAGAAGAATCACACTTTCCTGGTTCAAATCTTAGATCCAAATCTCCTGGCACTTTAACAAGGGCCAAACTATCTAATCTCTACAAGCCTCAGTTTCATGAAGTGTAGAATGTGAATGATGGTGCCTAGACTCTTGATATCTAATACGCAATATGCAGAAAGTACTTAGAAGAGGGCCACACATAGGATGTACTCAGTAAATGCCAGCTACGGTGGTACCTCTCATTAGACCAGGCCCTATATTCCCCTCTCTTGGTCTTTACCAGCTTCTCATGGCACTGTCCATGAGTCCTTCCTGCAGGCCCAGATTCTTTCCAGGTGCTAGCCAGCAATGTCCGGCACTGGAAGACTGGCCCCAACTGTCCCTTCCCCAGTGGAGGGATGAGAGAATATGGGGACAAGCAAATTCCATATAGATCCTGGACCCTCCATTCCAAACAAGATCCCTGTGTTGTGGCAGTGGTCTTTTTTCTCCTCCTTCTCTTCTTCACCACTGTCAAGAAGACCACGATATACTTAAAGTTTACTCGGGTTCATATACACGTATAATGATCCTGAGAGCTTTATGAGATAGGGTTCCTCCTTTAAAAATTTGTTCTACATCTGTTTCAAATGTTTTAAAATCAGATGCAAGTTCATTTTTGAAATCTGTTCAAACATAGCATTTTTATGTTCAGTTACAAAGGTAATAGAACATTCTCATTGTAAATGATCCAAAATCTAAACAGTATGAGATTGTCATTAGCATCCCCATTTATCTGATGAGGGATGCATAGCCAAGACTGATTACACAATGTTCTCAGGTTCCACTGGGAAGCAACAGACACAGAATCCAAAACCAGGGGAGTCTTGTGCAAGAGCCTAAGTTCATATGCACTAGATATTGCTGACCTTGTCCAGAGGACTATCTTCTGCCTCAGTTTCCACCATCTGACATC